GGCAAAAAAAAAATTGGTGCTCGAAAAATGAAATCAATTTGTATTTTTTGTTAGTCTTGTTTTGTAACATCTATATTTTTTCAGTGCCTTGTTGGGGAAGAAGTGTTTGTTAACTGTAGTTCCTTAATCTATGAAGAAAATAGATTTGTAGACAGAAGAGAACAAGGCTGAACAAGTTGAAAATATGCTCCAAGAAGGAATGTACGAACAAGGTAAATTATAACCTTACATAACATAATATTCTCCCTTCAAGTATAAGGTTAGTTTTCCTGTTATAACATCTAAGAGCATTCTTAATAGATGCCTCATCTTTGCTCTTCTTAAGTTTTAGTTTATTAGGTAATTCTTTTATTATAGGTAAAACTTTATAGTAAGGAAAGTAACATTCCCTCATAGTATTTTTTTTTTTAGGAGAAGGGCTTGAACTCAGGGCCTGGACACTGTCCCTTAGCTTTTTTGCTCAAGGCTAGTGCTCTACCACTTGAGCCACAGGAGGTTGCTCAGGCTAGCTTTGAGACACAGTCCTGGAATCTCAGCCACCTGAGTACGAAGGTTTACAGGTGTGAACCATCAGCACCCAGCTTTACAGTACATCTTACCAAGATTTATACTGCTATTTTTACAGATCATAGGAAATTTTCCTGATATGAAATAAAAGTAAAGCATAAGTTGAAGAATTTCATTCTAATCAAATCTGTTTCTTGGAAACAGATGCAGAAGGTCCAGCTAAGGAAAGGAAACTTCTAGTTGGGCATGGGGATATAGAAATCTAGCACCTGGAAAGCTGAGGTACATGGATGGTACACAGATGCCTAGAATATATAGTAGTATCCAAAATGGGAATGGCACTGATCATAACTCATTGGGATTGGAGAAGTTCTGGAAAGTTCAGCAGCTGTCTAGGAAGTGCCTTCACCTCCCTTAATGTGACTCAGTCACTTTCCACATTGTTGTTATTATTGTTTGCTTTTCCTGTCTCACTAACTAGACAGAAAGTTCCTCTGTGTCAGCTGGAATTCATGACCAATTCCAAAAGCCATGTCACACAAGTCCTAAGTTGATGACAAGCTTGTGGAATAGCTACTCATAGGTATGGGACATTTAGCTGTGGGACCCATGGGACAATGGGGTCCTGTGTTATGGAACAAGGCTTTTGAGGGAATGAAAGAGTAAATGAGTGAACAAACAGCAAACCAAGGCTGGATGGAGCAGGTGATGACAGACACCTCCATGACATCTGCCTTCTCTGTTAATAAGCAATATTTAATAAGGGATTGTCTCCCCATGACCTCTCACATATTCAGTGTGCAAGGGGAAAAATCCTTTGTGTTGCTTATGTGCCTTTTGCAAGACTAGACTCATTTAGGGTTGGGAAGGTGGCTCAGCGGTAGAGTGCTTGCCTTGCATGCATGAGGCCCTGGGTTCGATTCCTCAGCACCACATAAGCAAAAAGAAAAAAGCCGGAAGTGGCGCTGTGGCTCAAGTGGTAGAGCGCTAGCCTTGAGCTGAAGAGCTGAGGGACAGCGCCCAGGCCCAGAGTTCAGGCCCCACAACCGGACCCAAAAACACAAACAAAAACAAAACAAAACAAAAAAGACTAGACTCATTTAGAACATGAGTATGCGGATAGTTGCTTTTGGTTCCTTTTTCCATTTCCAAACCCATCATTTAAAGGCTAAACTCAGTGGTGAGTACCCAGGTCAACAAGACAGGATTTTGCTAGGACTTCACTATCAGGGTGACATTGTAGCTTTTGGGGCCCTTAGGAACTTTTACCTTCATGAACTCCTTTCCTTAATCCATCAAAAAATTACAATTGTGTTGGAAAAGAGAAAAACAAGTATAACACAGATATAAACAGAAGCTGGAATCGTTACCACATATACATTTATGTCAAATTTTAAAAGAAACCAAATTGGGCTGGGAATGTGGCTTGGTGATAGAGTGGCTTACCTAGCATGCATGAAGCCCTGAGTTTGATTCCTCAGTATGGCATAAACAGAAAAAGTTGAAGTGGCACTGTAGTAGAGCATTAGCCTTGAGCACAGAGAGGCTCAGGAACAGTGCTCAGGCCCTGAGTTCAAGCCCCAGGACTGGCAAAAACAACAACAACAACAAAAAGAAACTAAATTAAAACATCTTCAAGTCCGGTACCGGTGGCTCACACCTGTAATCCTATCTTAGTTACTCAGGAGGCTGAGATCTAAGGATTACCATTAGAGGTCAGCCCACATGGCTGGGAATGTGGCTTAGCAGTAGAGTGCTTGCCTAGTATGCATGAAGCCCTGGGTTCAATTCCTCAGTACCACATAAACAGAAAAGGCTGGAAGTGGCTCTGTGACTCAAGTAGTAGAGTGTTAGCCTTAAGCACAAAGAGGCTCTGGTACAGCCTAGAGTTCAAGCCACAGGACCAGAAAAAAAAATTTCAAGAGCTTCTAAATGTATCATGGGCTCTAAGCACTTTCCTTCTCTGCCTTACAGGTAAGATGCTCTCCATGTTTCCTGTCTTCTTCAGGATCATGTGCCTTGCACAAAGTGTGGTGGCTTCCTTTCTTACTCTTGCCTCCTAAACTTTCTCAGACTAGAAACTTGTCACTCATTTTTCTAAATACTTTGAAATTTATATTTTTGTTAAAAGTAATTATTTTATATCATATTTAATAAATGCTGATGCTATTAGATTTCTCACCTCTATGTAGAGTAAATATTATTGAATTAAATGAGAATATAAGGATATACAAACATTTTACATTTTACAAAGGTTGAGTATCAATATACCTTACTATTTTTTATTTTTTATATTTTGTCAGTCATGGGTCTTGATCTCAGGGCCTGTGCACTGCCCCTGAGCTCTTTTGCTCAAAGCTATCATTCTACCACCTTGAGTCACAGCTCCACTTCTGGCTTTTGAATGTTAATTGGAGATAAGAGTCTCATGGGGACTTTTCTGCCATGGTTGGCTTTGAACCGTGATCCTCAGATCTCAGCCTCCTGAGTAGCTAGGATTACAAGCATGAACTATCGGCATCCAGCTAAACTTAATATTAAAATGAAAAATATATTAACTGTGAATATTCAATTGTATTTAGAGTTATTTTAGTTAAAAGGCTAATAATAGAAAACTCTGATTGATTCACTGACATGTTCTTGGAAGTATAATTCTTACTGAAAGCCATTTCCTGTCGATTCCTTCACTGATGCCTCTTCAGAGTGGAAGGAAGCACTTACTCTTTTCCATTGCATAATTTCAGAGAATCCTGAAAATATGAGACTTCAAATGGTCAAAAGAGGTAATTCTTTTCCTTTATCATAGATTAGGTATGTTGTGAGGCTTAAATTAGATGTATGAGTCAGCTGTTTCTTTATATAACACTTAAAAATAGTCATTATTAGCCAGGCGCCGGTGGCTCACACCTGTAATCCTAGTTACTCAGGAGGCTGAGATCTGAGGATCAAGGTTCAAAGCCAGCCCTGGCAGGAAACTCTGTGAGACTCTTTTTTTTTTTTCTTTTTCTTTTTTTGTCGGTCATGGGGCTTGAACTCTGGGCCTGGGCCCTGTCCCTCAGCTCTTCAGCTCAAGGCGAGCGCTCTACCACTTGAGCTACAGCGCCACTTCCGGTTTTCTGGTGCTTTATTGGAGATAGGAGTCTCACAGTCTCTCCTGCCCAGGCTGGCTTTGAACCGCGATCCTCAGATCTCAGCCTCCTGAGTAGCTAGGATCACAGGCGTGAGCCACCAGCGCCCGGCTCTGTGAGACTCTTATCTCCAATAAACCACTAGAAAACCTGAAGTGGCGCTGTGGCTCAAGCAGTAGAGCACTCGCCTTGAGCTGAAGAGCACAGGGACAGCGCCCAAGCCCAGAGTTCAAGCCCCATGACTCACCCCAAAAAAAAAAGTCATTATTTGGCTGGGAATGTGGCTTAATGGTAGAGTGCTTGCCTAGCATTCATGAAGCCCTGGTTTCAATTCCTCAGTACCACATACACAAAAAAAGCCAGAAGTGGCATTGTGGATCAAGTAGTAGAATGCCCTTGAGCAAAAGAAGCTTGGGGACAGTGCCCAGGCCCTGAGTTTAGGCCCCAGGACTGGCAAAAAAAAAAGTCATTATTTTATAATTATATTATCTTTGTGGTATATGAGGACATATAGAGCCATTGACAATTTAGAGGTGGGAACTTCTACTGTAAAAGAATGGATAATTGCCAGGTACAGTGGTACATGCCTCTAATCCTAGCTACTCAGGAGGCTAAGAGATCATAGTTTGAGGCTAGCCCAGGTAAAACATTCTCAAGACCTTACCCTCATCAATAAAAATCTAAGTGTGATGATACAATTATAATCTGTTAAACAGGAAGTAGAAATAAGAGGATTGCAGTCCAGGCCAGCCCTAGCTAAAAGCAAATTCTTATTCAAAGGAATACAAAAATCAAAAAGGACTGTAGGCTAAGATCTGAGGATCTTAGGCCACCAGGCTCTTATCTCCCAATAAACCATCAGAAAACAGGAAGTGGCACTATAGCTCAAGTGGTAGAGAGCTTGCCTTGAGCTGAAGAGTTGAAGGACAGCTCCCAGGCCCAGAGTTCAAGCCCCACAGCTGACAAAAAAAAAGGACTAGGAGCACATTTCAATTGGTAGAGCACCTGACTAGCAAGGGCCTAAATTCAAACCCCAGTATCACCAATAGAAAAAAAAAGACTGAAAAGTATTTTATTTTAGGTTTTGCATGTGACATAGTATATATGTGTTGTATTTTCTTTTTTCTTCTTTCAACGACCTTTAAAAACATAAACGCTTTTTTTTCTCAGGGGCTACACCTAGAAAGGGAAGCTAGATTCACCCACATGTATGCCATAGTTTTCTGACCCCTGTAAAGACAGTAAAGTCAAAGTGATGAATCAAATTGATTTATACAACAATAAAACAACAGAAGCAAAATTTAAATCTTTACACTCCATCCATTATATCATTCTCCTTCTATTAAAAAAAAATCTCCATTTTACCTGAAATTCATCAAAACACAGGAGAGATGCTTCTTGGCTGATTTCTTCAGCAATGGGAGCTATTGGGTCATATGATTGAGCCATGAATCCTGCTTTCCTTTTTGGCAAATTCTGTTTAAGGCGATGAATTCCTTAAATGAATGAAATTTAACACAGACCAAATACAATATTAACAGTATATTTTAAGCAACTATTTTTTAATTCCTAAGTGAAACTAGCTCAAACATCAAAATTAAATTCTATATACTACCACAGTTGATTGTTGAAATTGGTTGTGTTTCTTCTACCTTCAGATAAGTTATTCAAGTATTATTATAGTTGTGGGGTTGTAAAGAAGCTTCAAGATCCATTCTTGAATCCCATCAGAGATGATTAAGTGATACATAATAAGACAGTTCAGTATATTGCTATCAATCTTGAAGAATTCAGTGATGGAATGGGAGTGATGTAGCCCAAGAAGTTTAGCATATCTAATCAAAATGTTCCCTTATCTCCAGCTCATAACATTCTAGCCAATCTTGTGTCATTTAATGTTTACTAAATGCTGAACATATTAGGAAAAAAACTACAATGTTCCTGTTGTAGGAGGATATAGTGTAGTTGATAAGAAAAATCACACACACACACACACACACACACACACACACACACAGAGAAATAATATAAGAATACTAGGGAGGTTGGGAAGGTGGTTCAGTGGTAGAGTGCTTGCCATGCATGAATGAGGCCCTGGATTCAATTCCTCAGCACCACATAAGCAGAAAAAGCCAGAAGTGGTGCTGTGGCTCAAGTGGTAGAGCGCTATCCTTGAGCTGAAGAGCTGAGGGACAGTGTCCAGACCCAGAATTCAGGCCCCATGACTGACAACAGCAGCAACAGAAGCAGCAGCAGCAGCAGCAGCAGCAGGAGGAGGAGGAGGAGGAAGAAGAAAGACTAGGAAAAGAAACAAAAGTTACATGCAAATACAAGCTAAATGCTTACAAAGAGCAGGCCCTAATCCATAACTTCTTGCTGGGCACAGTTGCTTATTGTTATAGCCAATCCTAGCTAATTGGAAACAAAGAAGTGGGGGAGGGGATTGTGGTGGTTCTAGGTCAGCTCAGGCAAAGTTCATTTTTTCTTTTTTCTGGTCGTGGGGCTTGAACTCTGGGTCTGGGCACTATCCCTCAGCTCTTCAGCTCAAGGCAAGTGCTCTACCACTTGAGCCACAGAGCCACTTC